CGAAACTTGGACACAGTTCTTGCATCGAGGACATCGGGCTTAAGAACCAATCGTATTCTAGTGTTACTTAACCGCTCAGTGAACGATCGTGCTATTGGATACTACAAGGGGCCCATTGTAGTACCGAACCGAATGCCTGGATTGCCTGGCTCGCTTGGCTCAAAGGTGCCGACCGCTCGGAGTCTCGGAGTCGCAAGTCGCAACTTATGTATAGCTGAATTGTGGTATAATGGTATAATATAAAGCTCGCGCCATTCCCGTTCCCGACATTCCTGTTCCTATTTCGCCGCCAAAGATATAATCGCGATCGTCGGGGGGGTCGCCGACTCTCGCCGATTCGAGGCGACCGGCGGGAACGTTCGCTCGCGGCAACGCTGGTTAATGTGATATCTCACGTCCGCGACGCAGGTATTCCCGGCTGGCGGACACGCCACGTCGCACGCGTCGAGTTTCGGTGAGTTTTGCACCTTTGCTCCGCGATCTACGTCGCTCCCGGCTCCGTTCCGTATCGTGAGACGACGTTCCCGCCGTAACCTTTCGTCGCCATTGTAAACACCTCTACACGCACGCGGAATTCACAAGGCATGTATAACGTTTAACGCTGCCTCGTCGCAACGCGATCCGCAATTGCGAAGTCTTGCATTTCAACTGAGATAATTCAGCGTGTTACTTAATTTTTCAACGTGCCTTTTTTTTAACGCCAGTCACATTTCTGCCGGTTTAACAATATTTTTAGGCATTTATAAGTACGTCAACATTTTTCTCATTTTCGCACATCAGTTTACATTAGTTTTATTTTCAGAGCTCTTATCACGATTCGTCGGCAATGTCTAACCCTGAGGAAGTGAACAGCTGCGTGCTAGACACGCAGGAGACCTATTACGAAGGTGCCAACGAAAGCTTCAAAGTTATCAACGAAACGCAAAGTATGAGCTTGAATGAGAGTCAAGATTTTCACCTCGTTGATTCCGGGGCAGACGAGAGCATGGTGGAAGGGATAAAGCAGACGCAGGAAGGAGAGGCTACGTGCCAGGAGTCGGTCGAGCAAATGGATTCGCAACAAATCCCGGAAACATCACGATCAGAAGTGGATAACAACGCGATAACTACAAGCGACAAAGAGGACAAAACTGTCACGAATGAAAAAGTAATAGAAAACGAGCCTATCGAAAAGACTGAAGGAAAGGCATCTGGCGAGCTATGCGAGTCAGAGAAGAAAGACGAGCTTCTTGATGAGGACGAGATCATCCAAGGTACACCTCCTCAGAGTTACTCGCCATCCAGAAAAGCAGGTAGCGTCAACGTTGCAAGTCTAAAGCGTAAAGCTAAGACTGTCGACGAACTACCTGCTAAGATCGCTCGAATAACATCTGCAGAGGATGCGACAAATGTTAAGAAACAACTCGAGGAGGAGGAAAGTCATCAGTTTTATGAATCTGACGATTCGTATCAGGATTTGTTTAAAAACATCGAAAAGAATGTTATAATAGAGGAGACTCAAGATCCAACCGACTTGGAGTTTACTCAGAACCCTCTGAAGATTCCCACGGAGCATGAGACAGAAACGACGGACAATGAAAAGGCTCAGGAGCATACTGAACATACGAATCAACAGCGGGACGAGACATCCGAGAAATGCGACGTGAAGAAAGATGAGAATCTGAATGTTTCGGCAAACGTGACTGACACCAGCGCCAATGACAGCACCGTAGTTATTATGAATTCCACAAACGAAAATGATTCTCAGCTGGATGACAACAATCTGTCGGTCGAAACGAAAGGGGATGTTGCTTCCACAAGCGTTGTGATAGCCGACGAGAAATCTGGGATTGGAACGTTGGACGAGACGGAGTCTGTAAAGAATACAGAAACGGTATTGGATGAAAATAATCAAGTGGAACAATCGACGTGCACCGAACCCACTGAGAAGATTGTTGACGACACGGACGAGATCCCATCTTCGCAGACCAAATCACGAATCAGCATAGAATTGATATATGAGGGCACAAACCGAGCTGTTGACGAAGGCGAGAGTAGATCGAAGCCGCAAGTGGTGCAGATTGACGACGATGGCGAAAATATTGTATTGGACTCGTCAGCCGAGGTGACGTACGACGGTCAGAGCACGAAAAAAAAACCGGAGGTTGTTCAGATCGACGACTCGCACGAGGATGGTGAGAGGATTGTTCTGGACTCTATAGGGAATAATTTCCAGGTCCAGACTATGGAAAAAAGCAGTTTTGAGAGCAAGAGTGGCGCTGATTTCGGTTACAATTCTGCGGAGAGCATGAAGGAGTCATCCCTGGACTCGAAATTGACAGCGGACAAGAAGCTGGTGAACGGCAACGCTGAGGCCAAGAGGAGCGGCGATACTGACGTGACCCTGAGCTTGGACTCTGATACGTTCTCCGTATGTGATGAACAAATTCTGCCTGCTTCAGTGAAAACTGTTCCCGATATGAAGAAGATACACAGCGCCAAGGGTAGCTCTTTTGCGTCTAAGGACGTGGACAATATCGAACTCGTCAGTTTAAGCGACCACGAAACGTCTCATGAGGAGAAGAACAAGTCCGATCTGATGTATAACAGCACAGCTAAGACCGTGCAGGTGAGCAACAGATAGATCGTTTCGTTCGTCTATTGCGTATAAAAAATACATGACGTAATAAATTAGTTAATAAACGTAGGTATAAATGTTTGTTGCATAAAAGTTGCGTAAAAGTAAACGTTCTGTGCAGATTCATGAAAATAATACTGTTACAGGTAGAGCGGGAGATCGGCGTGTACGTGAAGCTCAAGTGTCTGATGCACGTGGACGAGAGCACGAAGGAGCCCGTGAGCAAGGAGTTGACCGCAGTGCAGTGCGAGCCCGTGATAATCGAGTCCATGATGAGGAGAGACAGCCAATCCTCTCCGTTGGCAGATATCTCCGACAACAAGGATTCGTCACCCGGTTCCGTGAACAGTAATCCTCAGCTGTATCAGCTGCATCTGTCCCGATTGTCCATCATGTCGTCGATCAGCTCGTCCAGCTCGGCGTCCAGCGCTGCTTCTTTGGCAACGAAGATCGCCTTGAAGGGTGCGCACTTTTTCACGATGCCGGTGGGCCCAGCAAAGCACGCGAAGAAATCCACCCAAGACCAGCTGACAACGGACAAACAGACGTTGGACGAGACTTACGATCGCCTGACGCGCGAGTGGAAGAATCATCGCTTGCTCACAACGGCGGTCTTGAATTACGCAAACGCAGAACTAGGCAATATTACGACACTGGGCAATACCACTGCGGCCACAGCCACCGCGATAGCTGATACTTTCGCGAATGTGAGCAACGAGCGGCTGGACGATCATCATCACCTGGAAAAGAACAATATGCGCTCCTCAACGCCGTCAGGCGAGCCCATGGCGATTTCGAAGATGGAACTAACTGTTACGCCGAAGAGCACGAAGAAAAACAAAACTGTGAAGAGACCGAGGAGCAAAATGACGAGGCAGATCAACGGTAAGAACGGTACTGATAATATTCCAAACGAGCCGACTCTACACGCGTCCACCACGGAGACTGAGACATCGCCGAGCAGAAAGAAGAGCAAGATAGAGAGCACGCTGCTGGAGGACAAGCTGCTGATAAAGAACGAGGACGTTCTGGCGAATTCGTCGCCGCAAAGCGTTGTGGCCGACGAACTGATCGGTAAAACCGTGTTCGCCAAATGGTCGGACAAAAATTACTATCCCGGCACGGTGAGCGATCGGCTGAAGACCAAGTACAAGGTGAACTTTTACGATGGCCAGACCAAGACGCTCATACCCGAATTTGTGATACCGATACCAAAGATTCTGAGGGAAGGTCTGTCCGTGTACGCGACCACAAACACCAATAGTTACGATTCCTGCGGCATTATCGTCAACGTTCAAACGTCGGACAACGAGACATACTACACGGTGGAGACTGATGAGGGCGAGCGACTGCGTGTGCAAATGCACAACATTTCCTTGTCCGCCGATCAGGCACAAGTGCTTAAGGAGGAGGTGGAGTCCGCAGGTAACTGTTCCCTACCGAGCACGCCGAAAGCGCTCGGCCAGATAACCCTGGATAACGTGGTGGAGGGCAAACGACGCTCCAAGAGAATCGGCACGCCACTCTTCTCGACACCCAAGTCCAGGAGCAACGCCGCTGGAACGAGCACTTCGGCCAGTAAAATCAAAGCGGAACCCTCGGTGTCCGGCATATCCGCGAAACTGAAGAAGGAGAAAACGTTATCGGAGAACGAGAGTATGTCGAGCGACTCAAACGTTGCATCGGCTCAGACGGAGGACGAGTATGTTCTGAGAGGCGTGCAGAGGGAGATAACCAACACGCCGTACGAGCAGATGAAAGGACTGCAGAGTAAAATCAAAGGCAAGGCACGTAGCAAGAAGAAGGTAGATGAAATGAATGCGACCCTCGGTCCGATTCCAACAAACCCCAACATCTTTAAAGGCATATCATTCGTCTTTACTTGCATAGATTCCCGTGAACTGCACAGGTATTTTCTTTTCTCGTTTACTTATTTATTTGATGATTGAGCAGGGCGATCTAAATTCTAGTAAGAATATTGGGACTGCCGAACATTAGAAAACATTAGCAAAACATTGATTTTAAACATTGATATATAATTTACACTAAATATGAAATTAATATGATATAACAAAGATATTATATAATACAAAAATATTAAATTATAAAATAAAAAGATATAAATACCTCAAGGAAAATATTTATATCTCTCTTTTTACTTTATAATTTAATATTTAAGGTACATAAAGTATTGTATCTCCATTCTGTTTGAATTTCTTTGTTAAAGGTTCTGTTCAATATCCGCTCACTCATTCGGCACCATTTCAGATTTCAGGAGATGTCCGCTGCGTCGGGCACGAAAACGGAGGCCACCGATCTCGAAACCGAGGATGGCACCGAAAACGAGACCGAGACCGAATGCGAGACCGATTGGGGGAACCAACCTTTCGTGCGCACCAGACTGCGCAATCAGATTGTAGCGGGCGGCGGAAAAGTCTACGAAAACTTCGGACAGATACCAAAGGATGAGTACGAGAAGACGGTGCTCATCACAAACGTGCCAAACTACACGGAAACGAGTATATTGTGTCTGTCGGTCGACATTCCCGTGTGCAGTCACAAGTGGATCACCAGATGCTGTGCAGAGGTAGCACGATATTTTTTGTTCAACATTATAATTTTTTAATTGTGCTTAATGTTTTTAACATTTGTAAGGGAAATAGTTCCCAAAACTGATTATCCATTTACCTCATTGTCTATTTACTCATAATGTTCAATCCCCTTTATGAAATCAAGGTATAATAAATGGGATAACGGTCGGAATTGAACTCGGGACTTTTTTGTGAACTAAGAAACGATCACTTTCATACAGAGCCACGCGTATATGTATCATATTTGTGTATTTATATCTTTACTATATATATCTTTTCACACAATCTTGTTTTATGGCTACATTTATCATGGCCTCGTTTATTATTAATGTACTCATACAATAATAACAATTTGTGTTATGCGTAATGTCTTATATTCGATCGTATACTTTTAGGAAAAGTTGGTGAGTAGGGCGGAATATGCTCTTCCAAATGGTTGGAGTTGTCAGAAAAAAAAGTACGTAGAAAGATACGATATAAAGTACAAAAATAAACCATTGTCAAACGTCGTCGTGATAATTCCTAGTCTGGCACACGACGGACAATTTGCTACATTCTGGCGACAAGTTTGCGAGAACGCGGGCGCGTTCACAGTTTTGATCGCGGAGAACTCAGGTATTTATTTCATCACCAGAAGATTCCTTTTTTTGAAAGCAAATTTTGAACAATTATTAATATATAATATTAAGATAAAAAAGCACATAGTCTAATATCTTAATATTTATAGAAATTAAAATAAAATTATTTTACACGCTCATATGTTATTTTAAATAAATTACGATTCATGGACAAATTTACAAATATTTTTTCAGGGGCCATGGAGGCGATGGACTTTAAAGATGCAGTGGTCGTGTCTAATCGAAAATGTCCGTCGTGGGCAATAAACAGGGCGGCTCGATTGAAAATTCCAGTGCAGTCCACCATGTGGGTGATTCAGTCTATAATCGAGGGCAAGCGCTGCCCATATAACTTACATCCGTGCTATAAGTATAATTATATATCAAATTAGCAAGCTTTCGTTAGAAAGCTATTGTTTTTACAATCGTGAGTACGTCGCCTATGATCAATGTGGCTACTAGAATATATATTTTTTTTGTTTTCCGAGTCCTGTTCTCAATATGCTAGCATTACGCGACATATTGTCTTGTTTCCATTGTATTTTCTCCAGACAGATTCCCAATTATCCTGCCTCTGTTACGTTTGTACGTTCGATATGACTGATAACGTAAATTATGCATTTTGATATGGCGATTTATCCTCGCGCGATCACTACGCGTATGCAACAATCTCGACATTCGTTTTACATGCTGCTTCTCGCGCAAGGATACATGCGTAACGATTTACACTTTTGTAAGATTTTGTGTAAAAATGGACATGCGCGGGTACCGCAGATCAATTTTATACACGAACGTGAATCCTTGTGTAGAAAGCGATATCTTTAAGAGATTAACATTTTTGCGATAACTCGTGATCCGCGGGGAATCGCGTTTATACCTCGATAAGGGACGCAAGATTTATTTCAACGCGATCGATATATTCAAAGAAACGATGAGATTTCATATCAAATATGTTCTGCTTTCGATCGATTTTTTATAAATGAACACATCTACTTTAATCGCCTACTGTAATCAGGTCTAATTGGTTTAACGATATTAAGGCCCCTTTTTTCTCACCATGTGGAATTGTATCAGAAACTAGAAATAACGTGATTTTTTTTTCCTCGTAATGATTAGATTATTAGATTCAAGATAAATTGATTTTTTCGTGCCTATTTAATAATGTATTCACACACATTTCTTTCAGAAATCTAAGACATTTCTGCACATGATAAGCAAGTGCATATGAAAACTAATTTATTTCAAATATAAACGAAGCTTAAACGTATATAAAACGATATTTACATGATCTCCAACTTCTGATCTCTTATAATTCATTACCACTACAGCGAGAGGAAACGGGAGCCTTAAGAGAATATTATTACGAAAGATACAGAGCAAAAAGTACATTGATGCACAATTGACGTTAGCAACGCAGTTGGCAAAACTCACAGTTTTATTAAGGTGAATTACCAACTAAGTAGATGTGTTTTTGTACGTGCATATATGTGAAGAGACGCGTTGTATATAAGTAAATATATACTATACAAATTTTATTATACATATATATTAATAAGTTATAGCTATTATGTACAATAATGTCCGGGGATAAAATATAGCAACATATTTTTTGGCAAATGTTCTCTCTTTCTCTTTTCCGACACATCTATTCTTTCATTCTTACGAAAGTGACAATTATCGCAAATTGGTACAATAAATATTCATAAAATTCAATAGTTTAATAACTAGAAGTGCGTTTTTACGAATTGTACCAAATATAAATATCTCCTGTAAGTGTTCGCAACTCCTTGCTTCGCTCGTATCTTGAAATACGAGCAGCAGGATGTCTGTCGACTCTTATGGATTATACCAATCGAGGAACAACAGCGAGAACGATATCACCAGAAGGAAGAAGAGGATCCACACCCTGAGACCGGCATTCCGCTGAATCGCTTGTCGTATCTGTTCGTTCGCCTCTTTCACGTTTTCCGTCGACCCGACCACCGTCGTCATCAGCCTGTCCAGATCCTTGTCTTGGTCCAGAACCTTTTCCGTGAAGATCTCCTGAAGCTCGGCGATGTGCACCACTTTGCTCTCGATCTGCTTGACCTCCTCCGTCATGGTGTTGAGCTCGTTGTACAGCTGCTCGTTCTCCGACTCGAACATCTGGATGTCCTCGGCCGACAATTCCTCCTCGTACGTCAACGTATTGACGTCGCCGTTGATCTCCTGAATCTTCATCGGACTCGACTCGCTCGAGTCGTTTCTGCTCTCATGATCGTCCAGGATTTTCTCCGCCGCGTTGAGCGCCGACTTTTTCATCACCGTCGCTGACGATCGATCGGCTGGTCTGGGATCCGCCTGCAGCCTGGAGATCCTTCGCATCTCCATCGCCCTCTTCACGCGCATCGCCTTCTGCTCCGAGTATATCTTACAGACGTTCTTCAGGTAGTCCTCTATCAGCAGCAGCATAATCTCGCGATGCTCGACGTTCTGCTGGGTGATCTCCGTGGACGCCGCGACCTCCCGCTTCAGGTCCTTGACCAGCTGCGAGCACGTGCTCATTATCCGCTGCGCGCCCAGGTCGATCTCGTCGCGCTCCGCGTCCGTCATGTGCGGCGCGGCGGACAGGTAGTTGGAGAAGTTCAGGTAGGCCTTGCGGTTCTCCAGCAGGAACTCGCGCAGCTTGGAGATCTGCACGACCACCGAGTACGCCTTCGCGCAGAAGGTGCTCTTGCTCCTGGCTCTACGCGGCTGACACGCCGTCGTTGCCGGCGCGCCGAGGTCCTTGTTGCGCAGATTCACCGCCTTCACGCTCGCCTTGAACAACGCGCTCACGTCCATCCCTGCCTGCGATTCCCTTGAATCCCTTGTTCGCTTGATCTCCCGGATCTACCGGAGGCAGCTCGGAACTCGGAACTTCCAAAGTCTTTGCGATTTTTGCGTGATTAGCAATAATCCTGCAACATCCAGATATATTCGAGGTGTCGATAATGAAAAGTCACGTTTGTTGAGAGCTGAAACGAAGTTGAGATGTTGAAACGAAAATTGTCTTGAAACTTACCTCACTCTTTCTCTATCAGCGTCTCATTTATTATGTTTATGAATGCGCTGATTATATTAAGTACTGCGACGGCCGTGATATCATTTGTAATTATGCAGCACGATAGTGTGCCTGTGTTTCCTTTTCGAGTAAATTAATAAAATAGCAGACGGATATAATCGTCAATTTTGTAAACACCTGTCACGCATCGAGCGGCTAAGAGCGATTTAAAGTGAGGTTATGTATAGATATGTACGTGTACTTGTTCCAGATGTGTGAAGAATAAGATTAACGCACGCAAGATAAAAAAAACATACCTTTTTTTTCCATAACTTAAGAAAGGAATGATATTCATGGCATCATATTCGATATTTTAAAAATATTCCTGTTTCAAAAACCTAACCATGTACGTATTAGGAATTGGAGTTTGATATTTATATTATTTTCAATTTTTTAAAGAAGATTGGGAAGGTGATTTAGAGTCCTATATGCACTAAATTACTTGTATTCCTTTTGGAAAGGCTTAATTTTGTTTGTGTCAGATTATCCTAGTGTAGAAGACGTACCTTACTCCTCCCTCGTCCGAGGGAGAATCTAAAAACCCCCCGTCCAGATGCAACGTACGCTTCTATTGTGATAATTTTGACGATTATAGAGCTCGGTAATGTTAGATACACAGCAATACGTATGAGAGATACATTGATAATACCTTCATTATTAATTTTATCATTTATTTAATTAGGCTTAACTAGTTTTAGGATTTGTTACAATAAAGTACACGTGCGCAAATTATTGAGCGTCGTCGGCCGGTTGAAGATCAGCTAGGAAGGCGTTATACCGGTCCATGATGTTCAACTCCTCGGATTCGTTGGTCTTGTCGTCGTATTGCGAACCGACCGTCCACAAGGTCTCCAAGTCGTAGTGCTCTCTGGCAGAATGAGAGAAGATGTGCAAAGCGATGTTTCCTGCAACATAAACCGACGTTGATTTTTATAACGTGCTCCACGAAGCTCGAAGTTCGTAGCTGTTAACGCATTCATTGTCCATTCACTTTTAACTCGAATCTTTATGATGTAATAAGTTTGAGGAGCGTATAATATTTATATAACGTGATTATGTAGAATGATATGCAGAGTACGTCTTACGTACTTTTCAATACCTCGGTATAGGTAGATCAAGATAGAAAAGATCTACGTATATAGCACATTTATACAATATATAGATATAATTACATTTTATTATGCAATACATATCATTCTATTGTGTAATTATATATATATATATATATTGAGAATCGTAAGTCATATAAACATAATATAATTTTCTAATTCAACTATTTCTAATGCAGAAAATGGGTTTACCTAAATCCAGGGCTATCCAATCCTTCGAGTCCTTCCCTTCAATTTTGGGTATCCGTTCAGTCGGATACCTCTTCAGCTTGTAAACCTTGCGTACGAAGGTGGCCAAAGCGTTCATGTGCTTCCACGAATTTCCCGACACGACAACGATGTAGTCCACGTAAGCATACTCCTTGGGAACTGAAGCGACGAAGATGTTCTTGGCCTTGTCTCGTTCCAGCAGCTCAATAAGCTCCTCGATGTCGTATACTCCAGTAATACCATCTAATGTATGCACACACTGGTCATTATTATAGGTCATTGTTGAATTGGTAGGTAATTTTACATGTTTAGTAGATAAAAAACGATTCATTATATATAATATTTATATAATATACATTTTACAATACGTTAAACGTTATACGTTTAACATAACGTATATATTTAATTAAATAATTTCTTAAATGTTTTTTCCTTAAAAATATGAATGTACGTACGTTTAAATTTGTAATCAATTTAAAATATATAATGAATAGAAACCCACATTAAATTTGTTACATCAATCATTATCATTACATTTCATTAAATACGTATTTTTTAATTGTTTCATCGTTATTTCAGCTCCGCTCTGATCGGCACTCAGGATTTGCACTCACGGTTTAGATTTATATCGGCGTAAGGATCGTGAATCTCCTCCTGCTTGTTCAGATCCTCGAGGAGGATCTTTTGCTGCTCCTCGCTCACATCGAGGATAACGTCCGCGTCTTCGTCGTGAAATATCTTGTATTTCGTATTTATAGCCGTCGCCAGGTTAGAGCCGGTGCCCTTGGTCGCGTCATCGTTCTCATCGCCGCCGTCCTTCCCCACGGTGCTCGAAAACCTCCTCGTCAGCCTCAGTCGCGAGTACGTTAGCGACCGGGCTGCGTGACCGCAGAGAGTCTCGCGCGACAAATGCCGCGCGCGGAGCAAATTCCTCAGGACGCACGAACGCATGCCGATCTTAAAAAGCTAGGTTATAAGCGATGCCAATCAATTGCAAATGCTTGAAAGGATGGGCACGTGAGCTTCAACTATAACATTATCACTACGTCAAATGTTTGTATTTTCGGGATGACGCGTGGCTCCGCGCTAGCGCGAATGATTCCTAATTGAAAGGCTCAGTTTGGAATCATTCGTACCCATTCGATAGGTACACGTGTCGCGTATTGTTTTCTTATAGCGTACGTACATATTTATAGATTCTTCCGATATGTTACTTCGCGTTTATGCACGCCGCTAACAGATAAAATGCAGAAAAATTGTACAAAATAGACGCGATTGCACCGATAATTCGCATTGGCATGCAATTTATTTCAAAAGATTAAATTACAATTGGAGGAAAACGGGAGGAAACGTGCCAGGTGATGAAACGAAAGCCCGCATTCTATCTTGTAGGAGCTGGATGTATTTAATCAAACAAGATTTGCAAGATGTACAAAATGCTCTCGGTGTGAGAAACGTGTCCATTGAAGATTCGTCTCCTCGGGATTCTCAAATCTGCCAGGAGCGTTCGTCGAACGGTGAAACGTCGCAGGTCTGCTTTTCCCACGGCTGAAATATTTCGTGGCGAATAAGAATGGTGTAAGGACAATTGTATATTGATTGCAGCTCGAATGAAGCTTACACCTACAGAGTCTGTGAAGAGGAGCCGCTTATTTGGACCTCGCACGCATCTTCCTCCTCTTGCGCTTTAGCCTGCGCATCCTCTTCTTACGCCACTGCAAATCAAACGTGTCGTTAATTTCCACTGAAACTCCAAGTGTTTCTTTGCAGTTTAATTCTTTACAGGGAAAAACCGAAAGCAAATATTTAATTTGTTTTTTTTTTAATTATATTTTTATCAACTACTAGGGACTCCGAATTCCCCGCCCGTTCCTTGTTGGTCGAGTTCAGGTTATGTTTAATAAAATATGCGGAAAACAAGATAAAACGCGGAAAAGTGCCGCTAAAAAATCATGACGAGCTTGAGTTAACTGTCAAGCTCATTATTGCAGAAGCTTCTTTCGCAGCGTCACGTTAATAAAATCGTTTGCCACGCGCAAGCGAGGGTTATCGTATCACGACAACTCGTGCGTTTCGCTCGGCGAAATAATCGTATTTGTTCGAAAAACGCGATAATTATCGACGGCAATCGGGGACGGCTTACCTTAGCTCTCATTTCGCTGTTCGGACGATTCTAAATCGCCCCGGAATCACCGGATCACTCTGGATTTCGACGAGTTTCAAATCAAACCTCCTCTGAAAAACTCTCGGGGTAAAGTGAAAGATGTAGGAAACGAAGATGCGGAATCTAGCGGAAGCGGATTGTAAAGGTCGCGCATGCATCAACGCCACCAACGTGCCGCATTTGCGCAATCGCGCAGTGCGACTCGGCGGTCGGTCTAGTCCCTAGGAAACGGAGCTTCCCATTGGACGCCAGCGGACGCCAGGCGTCGCGCATTATACATCTGCACCCCTACACCTGCACTTTCACTTTACACTTGCACCTACACTTTATCGATCCTTTCACGTTCCGCGTTCCGCCGATTCGAGAAACGCGCCGTCGCCACCGTTCCGGACCGACAGCTGGCGCGTTCCGCGTTCCATCTGCCTTCCCGCCCGTTTAAAGCCCATCCCGCCAAAAGTGCAGTCGCAGCTGGGGCGAACTCAAGTGCGCGGGGATGCGTTTGCCGCGCGGTAAACGACGTGTTTCGTCACACAAATTCGGCAGGCGGTAACCGAACGCGTTAAATCGCTGACGTGAACGAATTTTCCGACACGACACGCTTGACAAACGTTTCGAGAACTTTCGATAATTTTTCACGCGGCGGTGACTGCTCGTGCGAGTCCGCGAGTCGGAGCTCGTCGTTCTCGGGATCGCGTGGACGAAGAATTTCAGGGTACGTGGAATTCTTTTTCGGTTTCTCACTTGGAAAGGATTCGTCGACCCCGCGTCACGTTGGTTTGCGCGCTCGGCGATAATTTTGAGTGAAGAACGATGTCGGGTACGCAGACCACCATTTCTTTTCCCGTGCGAAAGAAGTGCGGTTTTTACGGTCGAAAGGAGGAAGTGAAGGAGGACTTCACGAACGCGACGGCGAGGGACACGCCGTCGAGGTACATCCCGGCCGTCAAGAAGATCGTCACCTTGACCAGCAGCGAGTCCGAGTCGGATTCCGATATTGAGAATACGACGAAGAAGCCGGAGGTTTACAGGGACAGAAGGACCGAGGATGCGGGCAACACGCCGAGGCGACGAAACTGCCACGAGTATGGTAAGTTCGTATAAGATACATTATTTCATTTTATTTAGAAGCAATGATAAAAGAATTGCTTTAAAGATAGATTGTTCCACATGTCACAGCGTTTTTGCACTTGGCGATAATTACACAACGTAGTTCTGCTTTATGTATCATAATTATACTGTGGATTTTTTTATTTTACATAAATTTGCTGTCAAAATGTGATAAATTATGTTTTGTTTCAGACAGGAGGGTCGAGAATGCGGGCAACACGCCAAGGCGACGTAAATGGGACGAGTCAGATGGTAGGTCTGCATAAGACACATTACTTTACTTTATTTGAAAACAATAGTAGAAGGATTACTTTAAAAACAGATTACTTCACATATTACAGCTTTCTCGTGCTTTTTGATAGTTACCCAACATAATTTTGCTTTATGCTTTATAATTGTACTATGGACATTTTTATTTTACATAAATTTGTTGTCAAGACGTAATAAATTACAATTTGTTTCAGAACACACTCCTAGTCCGCCCAAACAGAGAAGAGACAAGCCACATCTGCAGTCTCCCTTGACGCCGTCTACTCTTCTCAATAAATTAGTTCTGAAATCCCCTGAAAAAGAAAGCAAATTGACTCCCAAGAAATTATTCGACTCTTGCTTCTCTGAGGAAGAGAGCGAGTTAACTTCCAAGCTAGTATTAGGATCCAACAGATATCAAAACGCGCGAAAATCGTTGCACAGTTCCATAACGGAGGATTTGCCTGGAAGGGAAGAGGAATTGACTAGGCTACAGAAATATCTTCTTGAACATTTGGACCAAGAAACGTCGGGGTCCTTGTACATCTCTGGTCCCCCAGGCACCGGCAAAACCGCGTGTCTGTTTAAAATTATGCAGCAGTCGGATGTAAGGTCGAAATTCAAGGTGGTCTATATCAATTGCACCAGCATGAAATCTGCGACTGCCATTTACGCAAAAATAATCCAGGAGCTGTGCATTCCTAGCTCAACAAAGTCGAGGAAGAACAGCAAAGCCGTTATAGAGAAGTATTTAACGTCCAAACACAAGACGCTGCTTCTAGTGCTGGACGAGATAGATCAATTGGAGAGCAGAAAGCAGTCGGTGCTGTATTCTATATTCGAGTGGCCTTCCATACCGGATTCCAAGCTGATCCTCGTCGGAATTGCCAACGCCCTGGACCTGACTGACAGAATATTGCCTAGATTGCAGGCTAGATGTGAACTGAAACCGGCGTTGATGCACTTTGCACCGTATTCCAAACAACAGATATCTGACATAATATCTGCGAGATTGAACGAGGCGAATGCGGTTAATATTTTCACTCCGTCCGCGATACAATTTCTCGCGGGTAAGGTAGCTGCGATTTCCGGGGATATCAGGAGGGCCTTGGACATCAGCCGAAGAGTGATAGAATTGGCCGAGTCGCATCAAGTGGCGCAAGTACTGCGTCCGACAAACGATAACGGTAATTAATTTTTATGCGATGCAAGAACGTTGTAGAATTCTGTATTAATAAAAAATATATATTAATATTATACATTATTATATATATTAACGTAAATTATTAAAATAAAAATAAATAATTGATATTATAAATAATTAAAGAATAATTTATACAACATTTGATTTTCTACTTTTAATCTAGATACAAATATAGAGACCTCAAAAAAGGAAACAATAGAGAAGCCGGTTGACTTGAAGGAAGTAGTTACGGTTCTAAATGGAGTCTATGGGGGTACACAGAATCTCAATGAAGAACAGGATACATTTCCTCTTCAACAAAAACTACTAATTTGCTCTCTATTGCTTATCCTTAATAAAGGGAAGAACAAGGATGTAACTGTTGGAAGAGTAAGCTTGTCAAAATTACGCATTACAATTATAATTAAGCGTATAAAATTTTAACTAAACTAAATTTAGTTGTAATATATAATAAGTCATATTATGTTGCAACTTTCTTTTTCAAATAGCGCTCTATTCGTTTCAGTTGTACGAGGTGTACAGAAAGGTTTGCAAGAAGCGCAACATATCCGCCGTCGACAATTCCGACTTCGTGAACATGTGCTCGTTGATAGAGACCAGGGGTATCTTGCGAGTCGTGGGCAAGAAGGAGGCGCGTTTGTGCAAAGTAAACTTGCAGTGGGATCAAGAGGAGTTGGACGCGGCTTTGCAAGACAAACAGATGATGGCCAATATAATCAACGATACAAGTTGTTTATAGAACAATTAGGGAATTTTAATGTTACACCATTTTGTTACGCCTAATTTATTTTATAGCTCCTTTAATATTTTATATACATAACGTGACCATCTTGTTACCAATCGAATGTTACATTGTTATCAAGTCGTCGTCAACGTTTTTCTACATATCACTCTTTTAAAGAGAGATTTTAACGTTAGCATGAATATTTAGGCGCCGCTATTGTGTGAGACTGTATCGCATGAGACTGATTGTATTTACTGACCATTTTGTACTGAGGACGTTTGATATCATTGTAGAGAGATATATTTTTGATGATTGCAAATAAAATTTGTTTCAAGTACAAGTATATTCAAAGTCTAATTTTTTTGCTTGTGTTTTTCTATGTTCTTTATTTTATACTTAACCCAACGGTATGTGAACGCTAAGAAGATAAGAAACAGTTATACGGCAATAAATTCCATCTTTTGAATGTAATTTCTTTTTGCAATAAAGTTGAGAGAGAAAATATGCTAAACATTTTTAAAATAACGGTATAAATAAAAAAAAGGGAAGGCGAAAAATATTGTCCGTTTCTGTTTATGTTTTCTGAGAAGAAATGTCCATCTAAAGGGAACGGGCCCATAATGTTTTACATACGGTCGTGCGAAATTGAATTTCAAGTTATGTTAGGTCCATAGAGATATAAGAATAGAGTGCGCCAGTCATATGCTAGCACGTAAGAGGCTGCGATATAGGAATAGAAAAAGAACGCTGCATATAGGCCCTTTCTGTCTTTGTCTACGCGTGCATGCGAAACAAAGACAGAAGGGGCCCATGCGCAGCTTTCTCTTTTTATTCTGCGCAGCTTTCTCTTTCTATTCCTATATCGCTTTTTCAGCTCGCTCGCGCACTCTATTCTTATATCTCTATGGTTAGGTCAGAATTTAGGTTAGGAGATAATTATAGGTTAAGAATTCTCCGCATTGTTTACATGGTGCAGAGGCAGCAAAAAAATGGCATTACCAGAGCTTTACGTATAAGTTAAAGACTTGTACTTAAAAATTGTGTATAAATTTTGAGAAATTTCGAGGATGTATCTTAAGACAGTTAAGACACTTCTCCCCAGGACACTTTTCAACATGAGTTTAGGTTTAGTGTTTGTACTATTCTTCTGCGAATATCTCATATATTACGTGGTGCTTATACAAGTGAGTCCCCGTGTTACATTCACTGATGTGTCATGTAAGAGCTTAGACTGTTTAGGAACATCTCTCTCCTTAATGAAAATTTAAAAGTCATAATTGGTTCTTAGTGCGAATGGCCCACTTTGGACCCTCGGAAAGAGGACCCTGCTCTGGGTGGGGAAGCAACGGACAGGCCTGTCAGAGCTATGTTTATAGCGGACACTCATTTATTAGGCTCCAGAGAAGGTCATTGGTTTGATAAGCTGCGAAGGTTTGTATCCCCAAGGCTGTAATTTCATATATTTCTACTAAATTATATTTTTTTTATGTATTGCATTTGCATGTGTACTGAAGACTGACGTATATTGCTCCAGGGAATGGCAAATGTACAGAGCGTTCCAAACTATGATGACGTTACACCGACCGGACGTAGTTTTTGTACTGGGTGAGTAATGCGTGTATCATTGTTTGCGATATCTTCTATCTAAAGTTACTTGTTAGTTTCATTATCTCGCGATATTCAGGTGATGTTTTCGACGAGGGACAATGGTGCGGTTCTATGGAATTCGAGTATTATATAAAGAGATTCCATTCCTTGTTTCATGTGCCTAAGGACACACATATCTATGTCGTCGCCGGAAATCACGATATGGGATTTCACTATGGTACATTGAAGTATATATATTCTTTGCGAAGAATAACGATGAATCCAGTAATAATTCCTGCTTTATACTTGAGTCGAATGTAAATATATATTTTAACAATGTACGCTTTTAGCAATCACGCCGTATCGTAATCAGCGCTTCATTCACGGCCTGAAGAGCCCGAGCGTGCGACGGCTGAGTCTAAGAGACAATCACTTTGTGCTGATCAACAGCATGGCATTGGAAGGAGATGGTTGTTTCCTGTGCCGACCGACCGAGATCGCAGTGAATAAAATAGCTAGTAAGCTTTGCATTCTCGTATTACCGTGCCAAGATCTTTTCGTAATTGATTAATCGTTACACCGTCTACGTGTGTCATATTGCAGAGGATCTGAAGTGTGCGAGAAAAATTGGCAATGATTGTCGCAACGCAAGCGCGATTTCCAGATACAGCAGGCCTATATTGCTGCAAGTCAGTCTTCCCACCATAATTCGTAAATAAGATATTTTCATAAATAACATAGGAACAGAAATCCTAAAGAATCCCAAGACTAACTTTTAAACGTGAGAAAAATTCCATTTGAAAACAGAAGTATCGTTTCTTCTTCAGCATTATCCGATGTATCGAGAATCGGACGAAATGTGCAACGAATTGGATCAGGCTCCTCAGGAGTTGAAGGCTATCAAGTTCCGGGAGCGATGGGAATGCTTGTCGAAGGAAGCGTCGGAGCAGGTACGTTTGATAACTTCACTAACGGAACAGGCACACATATTCGATACTAACGCAAAGCTCGACTTGTCCCGCAGCTTTTAGATATATTGAATCCGCGACTGATCGTCGACGGTCACACACATCACGGTTGCAGAAGGATACATCGGGACGACGTTCTGGAATTCACGATCCCGTCTTTCAGCTGGCGCAATAAGGTCAACCCATCCCTTCTGATGGTAAATCTTAAACTTTAAGATTTTGACGTTAACTCACTAATGGTCAACGTCTCACTTTCGGAAATATTACAAGCTATAGAGCGAAGAAATAGAAATGGAGTAAAGGGGTACAAAAATGTTGCTAACTTAAGGAGTATTATTTATTATTAGCTAAAAATAATATTGGGTAAATAATAATCCTCAAACTCTTTTCGTCTGATTTTCAGGCATGAAATTAATAATTATTTAATTCTGGTATTAAACTGGGATCTTTATCTTTTAGAAGATAGAAGCATAATATACTTAACTGGAATTCTTTATAGTCTTAATATTATTATGGCTTTCTCAATGAGTTAATTGTCCCCTGTTGGGACGCAATATATCCGCGAATTATTTGTATTTCAGGGTACTTTCACTCCCAGCAATTACTCCGTCTCCAAATGCTACATGCCCGTGGAATCTACTGTGATCACTATTTATAGATGTAGTCTCCCATGCATGCTGATATATCTGATTATAAAACTCAGGCCGAGGCGGCACGCGTACTCGCGTTTGAAAATGCCTTGACTAAATCTATCGTGACACGTTCGAATGCGAACGGGCGTATAATAATTCTATATACAATGCAATTTATGGAGGCTATAATTGTCGAAATTAGGACATATCTGTATACACTTTTCGTACACGCTATCCATCACGTATTATTTACAACAGTAATAGTATAAAATACTTTGTGATATATCATAATTATAACGATGTCGATCTCGATGTACATAGAATTCTATTATGGAGAACTTGAGACATGTTTACTAAAAGATCTTGTAAGTACCAACGAATTTTATATAAGTGCGTTAAAAAAAAAATTACAAATCGAATCTCAACGGACCTAGACGCACAGAGGTTTGTGATGACATGATCCGAAAGCTGAAGAATGAAAACGTGCACTCGTACGAATGTAAAGTAAATACACAAAACTATGTTATTATTCATATACATTGCATACCGCGCTTATTGTTATAATAATAATAATAATAATAATCGGCCGAGACAGTTGCATGTTGTATTCTTACATTAAAGGAAACAATAAACACTTTAGACTGGCTCATTTTTATCGGCTATAATACTTTCGCACATTGACTGTTACTAATATCACATTACTTGAATATTTTTACAGAGTCCCTTGGTCTTCGACAAGAAACGTTATTGATATAGCCAACGTCCAACTGTTCGTAGATCAGTTCGATTATTTTCTCGTGTGTATGTATACATATATATATGTATGTCGTAAATCATAAGTACTCACGGGAGAAACCTTGCAACTAAGTATTATATAAATAAAATAGATTTATTATACATTGGAGCTCCATATTCGCGCCTTCCCTAAGCGCATATTTCGTGTACATTCCCAAGTATGAAAAGCTTATTTTCCGCCATAAAAAAAGGAAGTGATAAACAGAAAACTGATTTTTGCAATGTTTTAAAATAAAGATATTAGAAGAACTTCTTTCTCTCTTCGCTGTGATATTTATCTCAAAATAAATAAAATAAAAAAAAGTATCAAGAAAGAAAAAAATGTTTTCTTGAAAGGACCTCTATCTTTCAATATATATCTTTTCCCTATTGTCTCTTAATCTTTATATTCGCGACAGTTTTGCAAATCCTAAGCCGTGCGACAAACATGGAGCTTACATTGTACTCATTATGACGGACGCAAGAATAGACACGTAGAAACCTTACGTCAATACATCAAATATGCGTACACGTGTCATAAAATCTTGTGCAATGTTCGCAGTTTCAAAATTTCACGTGGAAGATGAGATGCATCCGCTTCGATTCACTTATTGTTCCTACACGATACGAAAATTTCAGCTTTCTGCCTCTCTCTCTCTCTTTCTCTCGCTCGCTCCCTTTCTCTCGCTCGGTTAAATTAAGTCTAAATTTATTTCGCTTGCATTACTCTAACGATAATTTTGACTAGTCTATTTTGACGGCCGCGTATATTTTCCTGATGAAGGCGTACGCGGCGAAGAAGCCGATCGTGCCGGTCAGCAACCAGAATGTGAGGACCATTAACGCGGTGTAGCCGAAATACATGAGAGTCGGCACCAGCTCGGTGATCTTCAGTTTGGTGACAAA